TACTAACTTTGAGCGAAGATATCTCAACAACCGCCCGATCAAAATCGATGAATTTTTTTTTATTTGAATTCCATATAACCATAGAATTAAAACAAAAAAAATTTTTAATCGATCAAATTTTGAGTACAATTGTAGATCTATCAAAAATGTAACCGCTGACCTATCAATTTTGAAACTTTTGCGCACCAAATGCATAGGACACCATATAATAACGCCTATTTATTTATTTAAATAATTTAATAATATGAAATAATATCACCTAAAATAAAAATTAGTAAAAATCTTAAACAAATATTGTTAGAGTGACTAAATTTATTATTGCAAAAAGCGAACCTAACACAATCTATTAACTTTTTAATGACAAAGAACAATACATTAAAAAAGCATTTGTGTATAGTAAAATAGTATGAAATAGATACACATAATGTTATAATAATACAAAATAGCTAGAAAAAAATATTATTGTTGACAATTTTAAACATTCCATTCATTTACTATGCTAATCAATTATCTTCTTTATCCAAATACTACATTAACAACAGCATTAGATAATTCAGCCTCATCTACAGTTTGTTCAACTTGATTAATCAGATTATTTCTATGATAAACCAACTAGAAGACAATGAGAAAATATGTTATACGTAAACATATGGAATGGAATTATATGGATTTTATAAATTAACATGTGCATACTTCAAATGGCTGTTCCTGAGCCTCGGGAATCGACACCTTGATGAATTCGAATAAATATCGCACGGGATCGGATCTGTCAAAACGTCGCATAATGTTCTTTCCATCTAAAATAATCGAATATCAAATATTAACAAACATAAACGATACGAACCAAATATTTGAAGAGCTAATGCGCCGAACCTGGAAGACGGAATTTTATCGCCGTCGTACTTGGACCGGCTACTTCAATTCTTTCTACGGGGAGGATTTTATCAAACGTCGAACTAACTGTTTCCTCAGTTACTATAAGAAATAATTAGCGAAGGTCGCTAAATAAACTGAATCGAATATTAAAATAAATTTTAAATCACCAATATTTGTTTCTTTTTCAAATGACTCGGGTTCTACATCCATCGTTTCATCTTCATCAGATTCTTGTTCGACTTCATTATTATAAACTCTGGACTCTTTCAAAGCTGCCATTATTTGTTCTTCCTCAGACATATCTAAAAATGACTGTAATTTTGTTGATACAAATACATCTTAAAAATAATCGCGTTAAAATTAAAAAAAAACCATCTCATTTATTCACTGCATTACCTTAGAGGAACTAGACTTCTGTGGCGGATTTCTTGAATAATCAGTCAAAGAATAACGCTCCAGGAAATCAGTAACTATCAAATCAATAATAAATTAAACACGAAGTGACGCGTCAGATAATAAATCTCTATAAAAAAGAATGAACTAACCACTAATTATAAACTCAGTCGGTTCCATCGGAGTGTTCCACACTTTCAATCTTTCACCTATAAAAGATTGGTAATTTAAATGTTAGCGATGTAAGTATAGGAAATCCAAACCCAGTATTTATAATAAACAAACCTGTTCTCGGATCAATTATCGCTATATGTGGGTAGCTCTCAATGGGATAAAAATTTATGTATTGACGTCCATCGGCAGTGTCTGCGTTAAACTAAATAATATATGCGAAATCGGACATTAATTAATTACTATAAACATTAAACTCAATATTTCATAGGAGGATTCAACATTAACTTACTTGCAAAAAGAGAAAATGTGCTCTGATCACGTCTTGAACAGTTTGATCACTCCACAAGTCTCGATTGAGTACTTGACAAGAAAATTCGGTTATTTGTTGAATATCGACCATTAGCCATTTTCCTTCATTTCGAGCCTTTGTACGTGTCTATAATAATCATGACATTAAATTAATAACCAAAATACACATAATATACACAAGCCGTTAGACAACTATTTTATATTATTTCAAAATATGACATTTACCCTTTCAAAGCTTTCTTTGTGCATAATTTCAAAAGGAGGTTTGAATAAGTCAACCAACCGATCAGTCCTTTCTTCACGAGAGCCTAATAATTTTGAAACGATTAATATTAGTCATATTAATATATTTAATTGATTGAAATACAGACTTGTACTAGGGTCACCAGGGCCAATATCGCCGGCAAAGGTTCTATGAATGTCACGTGCTCGTCGAGAACGTGGTATACCAGATATAATTCGTTCTAAAAGATATAAAAGATGATGTGTAGAAGCCAAAAGCAATGGTTTTAATCCATTTGAAAAGACATA